GTGTCTGTGTCCATTGGTTGTGTTAATATGCACGCATACAAGTCCTTTGGTTGCCCTCTAAGCCCCTCTCCCTTGCCATTTGTCTCTTCATCAAATTATGTTGATGAACAAGAGACAAATGAACAAGATCTATTCTTATTCATCAAATTATGTTGATCATTATATCCCATATGAGTGAAATAGAGATTTTTTTTCAAGTGGTAATCCTGCTCTTCAGATTTTCTTGGAATCATAACAAAGCTATCTTGCCAAGGCCGCGTGATTAAACTTTGTGCCAAGTAATACAGAGAGGGGCAAAAGTAGGTTTACAGGTATTCAAACAGCTATAAACCTACTCTTGCCCACCCCATATACATTCAAAACCTGATGTTTTGGGCAGCTGGTAAGAAAATGGACTGCACATATCCACAGAAACCCCAATGCTTGTGGATGACTTGACGCTCTAGTCCAAGCCGTGGATGTGATTCCAAATAAGGGTTTCATTTGTACCTCCACATGAAGAATTATCTGGAGGCACATGGAGAGAAGCAGTGGGCATTCAGACTACTCTGTATTGCTCTATATTATTTTCTGATATCTCTATAATGTTTGACTCTTAAGTCCTAGCTTTAAAAAAATGAAAGCATCAGCTTTGGTTGACCATGCAAAAACTAAATATTCTAAAATTGTACCTTAAAAATATCCCACACCATTTTTGACTATGTAAGAGTCTCAGGCACTTTAAGAAAATGTTTCTGGAAGACTGGCTCTGAGGCAGTGTATGAGCAGAAGCCAAGGCTAAGCCATTGCTAATGGAATCTGTGTCCCTGGGATACTAATTAACTCCAAATATTGCATATAAACTAAGCCAGCAGCTACTGAGAGAAGCAGCTTATGGGAGAGCAAAGACTAAAGAGGTTTAAAAGAAAAGTACTATCTTCTAATTGGAGAAAAAAACATCAGGGGCATAGGAGGAAACTTTTTCTCTCTATTCCAGCATTCTTTGTTTCTTCCATCCGTTTTCCTTTAAAAAAAATTTTTTTTATTGATTTCAGAGGAGAGATAGAAACATCCTATATAATAAAAGGCTAAAATGCAAATTGTCCTCTTGACTGAGAGTTCCACGGGGAGTTCGACAGGGAGTTTGACCAGGGGGCGGGGCCAGCCAGCCAAGTGCCCCCAGCCCCTCCCCACTGCCAGCTGGACTCCACCTGTGCATGAATTCATGCACCGGGCCTCTAGTCAATGATAAGAGAGAATAATTGATAGGCTGCCTCTGCATGTCCCCCACTGGAGATTGAACCCACCTGGGCATGTGCCCTGACCAGAAATCCAGAAATCGAACTGTGACCACCTGGTTCATAGGTCCATGGTCAACCACTGAGCCATGCCAGCCTATATAATAAAAGGCTAAAATGCAAATTGTCCTCTTGACTGAGAGTTCCACGGGGAGTTCGACAGGGAGTTTGACCAGGGGGCGGGGCCAGCCAGCCAAGTGCCCCCAGCCCCCGCCCACTGACAGCTGGACTCCACCTGTGCATGAATTCATGCACCGGGCCTCTAGTCAATGATAAGAGAGAATAATTGATAGGCTGCCTCCTGCATGTCCCCCACTGGAGATTGAACCCACCTGGGCATGTGCCCTGACCAGAAATCCAGAAATCGAACTGTGACCACCTGGTTCATAGGTCCATGGTCAACCACTGAGCCATGCCAGCCAAGCCCTTTTTCCTTTGTTTTCCTTTCTCCACGTTGCCAGGTATAATTTCCTGGAAAGCCGACTAGAGAAAGGCTCTCCCCACCTGGAGCCTGCTCTCCCTATTCTCTTGAATATGGAAGTTGTTTGGGTAGATGCTCTGCCCCCTGGGTGCCAACCTTGTCTGAGCATGAGCATCCCCAGCTTCTCCCCTGGAGGTTCCGATTCAGAGTATCTGGGACAGAGCCTGGGAATCTGTATGTTTAACAAGTGTCCCAGGTCCTCCTTATGAGTTTGGGGAATGGCATTCCCTCTGAGAATACACAGTCCCTGGGCCTGCAGTGGGACCCCCTGCAGTCATGACAGAGTAAATGCAGTTCAGAAGGACGGTGTCAGCAATGGAAGCTGCAGCTATCACCCCCCCTTTCCAGACAGCTCTGTTTGTTTCACTGTTGAATGTTTTTAGTTGTTAGAATAAACAGCTGACTCCTTATTTTTAATGTGCACATATAAGCATATGAATCCATTCTTTTAGGTAAACCCAGTGGCCTGATCTATTACTTTTAACCTGGACTATATTGGCCAGCACCTCCTCTGGTGGCAGCACCCTATTCCCGGTTTTGTTAAGAACAGGACGATTCTGATGCTCTTGAGTAATCTAAACCACCCACTAAAAATGACTGTTCCACAGCCACTGGTGCAAAGAAAATGGACAAAACAAACATACCAGTTGAACCACCCACAGAATCTTCCATTCAACACAGATGTTCAAAAAGCTTTGTAGAAAATCTGTGATGTAAATAAACTTTTTATTTAAATAGTTACCTGTTCCAAAAAGGCCTGCAAAGACATTTCTGCTTAGGCCTACATGCACATGTATTGTCATCCCCATAGCCCTCTCGAAAAACGAAAATACATTATTTGTGACTTTTTATACTACTAGTGGTCCGGTGCATGAATTCGTGCACATCGAAAGTAAATTAATTAGAAGAAATATTTTAATATCGCTATTCACCCTTTCTCCATAATAGAAGTGTTAACCAAATTCACAATCAATAATGACAGATTGAAACACACACATGCGATTGGCGCCAGCGAGAGCTTTTTATGTATCTCACATATGCGAGTCAACTTAGCCTTTTATAGATATAGAATAAACTTGCATTTTGTGCCATGGGTCTTGGCAGCATCAGCTGTGATTTGGTGGGCTGTCACTCCGGGGTGGTGGCAGGGCCTGTGTCCCACTTGGGGGAAGCCGAGTATTGCTTTGTGGGTGCCAGGTCCGTGGTGCCATTTCTCTATAAATGGCCAGTGTGCGACATGCCAGCTCCTGTGTTGAGCGTCTGGCCCCTGGTGGTCAGTGCATATCATAGCGACCAGTCAGACAGTCAGACACTTAGCATATTAGCCTTTTCTATATATAGACTAGAAGCCTGATGGACGAAATTCATGCAACAGTGGCCTTCCTTCCCCCGACTGCTGGCACCGGCTTCCCTCTGGCACCCGGGACCCGGGCTTACCTCCAGCACCCTGGACCTGGGCTTCCCTCCGGCCACCAGCAGGCACCCGGGACCCCGGCTTCCCTCACAGCCCCAGCTTCATCCGGAAGGTTGTCCGGAAGGACATCCAGTCTAATTAGCATATTACCCTTTTATTATTATAGATAGTTTGAAGTTCAGCCTATTAGCCATGACTGCATAGAGCCTGGAGCATTACTATCACCCATGTATTGCTAAATGAAGTGGCCTATTGTGTGTCCCCTATAAACAGCTTGTCAAGAATAAAAGACAGTAATGTCACATCATGCTTGCCTCCTCCTACATTTAGGAATACTCACAGCAAAGGGCTGCTCTTAGAAAAGGAAAACATACCTTCTGCAGTATCAGGATGTCTCCACTCATGAAATTACAAATTATGTATGAGTGTCATGGTTCTGGATTCTATTTTTAAACCTGACCTTGACCTGATTTCTACTTGCCTGTACAGAGCTTTTCTTTCTCTTGATCAATTTCACACATTTCCTTACATCTTTTAGCTAAAAGAATTCAAATTATTTGATGGAAACATTCTTACAAGCCAGCTATTATTCAAGAATAAGTTCTGAAAGATCTATTAGTTCCCTAGAGGTCATACTTACACTTAAGTGGTTGTAAAGGAAATAGCTGAGGTGGGAGAGGAGAACTTGTGTAAGAGAGAACTTAGTATGGCATCATTCATTTAACAAAAGCAGATACTCGTACGAAATGTTCCTTGACTAACCAGCTATTTCCTTAGGACTCTGAAATGTCACTGCTTCCTCCTGTGTGTAGAAAGGGCACTGAACTGAAGAAACGGGTGCATGGTTTTGAGTCCAAGTGGGTTCTCGTCCTGATTCTTCCTGGATATAACTCTGCATAATCATTTCATGGCTCTGCTTCAGCTCTGTTTTCAGTTGAATGGGAAAATAAAAACATACGTCCTACTTCACACAGTAGCTATGAGGCGTAACTGTGCAACTTGTCTTAAATATAGTAGAACGGGCTTTAATAAATGTCAACACGTCCTGTAGAGTATAAAGCACTAAGAACAGTGTTGTTAGTAACATTGTTTCTTCCATGGAAGCGAGCCTACTCTTTATTAAACACTCATCTTACTGAAAGTCCCAAATACCCAGATTCAAAAGAGAGAGCATGGAAGTACATCCCAAAGGGAATAAGAAATTATCTAACATAGGCCAACATCCCTGAAGTGGGGTGTCCTGAGAGAGGCTGGTTTTCATAAGCTTGGTTATATACCAGGACTCTGGCCACGGAGCTGGCTTCTCCGCAAAAATGTCTGTTTTCCTAATAAAGACAAACAAGGACCAACAGGGGCCAATCCTTCCATGACCAAGACCACAGGCATAGAAAAGCAACGTCCTGAATAATTCAGAATAGTGGCCATGCAGGCACAGAGCCAAATGGTAGAGAGAAATGTTCTGGGAGCTTACCTACTTTTTTTTTTAATATGTTTTTATTTATTTCAGAGAGAGAGAGATATCAGTGATGAAAGAGAAGCATTGATCAGCTGCCTCCTGCATGCCCCCTACTAGAAACCGAGCCTGCAACCAGGGCATGTGTCCTAACAGGGAATTGAACTGGTTCATGGTTGTTTAACCACTGAGCCATACCAGCCGGGCCTCTGGTGTTCTTTTTTTATTTCTTCCCCATTTCTTCTTGAAAAGGTCCACTGGTACACAGAAAGGACATCTCACATCTCTTAATGACAAACACATAAGAATCTATTGATAACTTTGTTGGACTCCATTACACTATTTAAGAAAGCAAGCATACATAGAGACTGAGAGTCAATGTAATGTATTATTTATGGTGTATTTTTTCCTTGCCAAGAATAAGAATAAACCAGCAAGAGGAAAAAAATAACAAAACTGGGAGACTGAAATACATACTGCAAGATACATACAAATCTACATATAATCCTCGTGTGCTGAAAGATTTTCTTAACAAAAAGATTGCATTCCAAGTTGCTGCTAGTTTTGATGCAAATGTGGTGGGTACCATGGCCCACAAGCCTATGGCTTCAAGTAGGTAGAGTACAGTCATCACAAGTTACTCTTTGTTCAAGATTTCTATTTCAGAGTTAAGCATGCCTTGGTAGCAATAATTGTTATACTTAGTGCAAGTAACCCAAACCAAGGAGAAGACACTGTGGAAAAATACAAAAGGTTTACTCTACCTAACCTAGCAACTCCTACTGAACAACATGTACCCTGCATATTTACGAGCTGTGGCCCGTGGTTGTGGAAAATTCACTACAGAATTAGAACCAACACTGCATGATACATTTAGTATACAGCATGCCTTTCCTGCTCAGAGCAAGACAAATCCGCTACTCGGCAGATCATGAGACCGAAGGCCTGGCAGCAGCAATGTGGCGGGATGTTCTCTTTTTAGCCCCCAAATGAAAAATAATAATAATAACATGGTTGACTATCCCGATTAAATTCCAGTCCAATTCAAAACTCATCTTCAGAGCTGTCAGCTAAGAGCATTACTCGGTCTTGCATGCTGTTGAATTCTCTCTGCTGGAGAAAGAAAACAGAAAAGCATTAAAACCCCTTCCGCTGCAGAGCAACACTGAGGGACGGGCCCCCTTGAAAAGACACACTCGCGAGTGAACAATGCCAAGGCGGCAACTCTCGCAGCTAATCCCAAACCACTGGGCACATCCAGACCGTTCGTGCCTCATTAAGCCCCGTGTGCTTTAATAAGCAAATTGGAAAAGCAAAGTATGTTCTGAAATTGAAGAGTTTTTGCTGTAGTTGGTTCCATACCTTTCTTTTGTGCCTTTTGAAGCCGTTTCTCCTTCTGCGATTCATCACCTTAATGCTGTAGAGCGCTCCCAGAATGAACAAGGCTCCCGCTATCCCCACCCCTACAGGCACCAGCATCCCGGACATATAGCCAGCCTGCAGAGAGAAGGAAACTGCATTAGGACTCTCAATAAACCCCTGCCCTGGGTTCCTCATCTCTGCTGGATGGCAACAGGTTTTTAGACACCATGAATTCTCCCATCTGCTTCATTATAAAATAAAATCGCATTTAGAATACAGTTACTTCTGGGGGGAGAAGGCAAAGGGAGAGAGGCGTGATGGCTATTTTGGGATATTTCCAATACTTAGAAGTATTACCATAAATCAGCCAGACCTACTGGCACCTCCAGCTTTGATTATGCACATTTGTCAACATCAGGTTTGGGTGACAGAAATACTAGTATAATTTGTATTAAAGATGGATGAAGTAAGCTTCTCAGAATGCCAGGACTATTAAAATGCTATAAATTGGAAATGTCAACCTGAGTCAAGCTCTGGGGTGAGATGGGGCGGGGGGAGTGCCCTCTGGAATGCTGTGTTTCCGGGAGGGCAGGAGGAGAGCCTTGACATTGGTGGGCTGCTCTCCCACACGCCTAGTGGCAATACAGCAAGAAAGGAAAGAGAAATGCGCTTGTAGGTGAGTGCAAGGTGCGGCTCCTGGAAACAAGTGGGACGAGGAGGACCCGCAGAGGAAAGAGGAAGGATGTTAGATGTTGGAGCACAGGGAGCAAAGACAGGGATGAGGACAAAGTGTGCACAGAGAGTGGACGGATGGATCTATATGAAAGGAACAATCTGCCCAGTGGACAAGACCAAAGTTGGGGTTGGGAGGGAATTCTGAGTGTCCCCAGCCCCAAAGAAAGGAAGTGGCAGAGAAGGGCATAAAGATTTCTGCCAATAGCAATGGTGCCTCCATCAGCAGATGAGGGGATTAAAAAACTGTGGTACATCTACACAATGGAATACTACGCTGCGGTAAAAAAGAAAGAATTCTTACCATTCACAACAGCATGGATGGAGCTGGAGAGCATTATTCTAAGTGAAATAAGCCAGTCAGAGAAAGATAAATATCACATGATCTCATTCATTTATGGAATATAATGAACAACATAAACTGATGAACAAAAACAGATCCAGAGACAGAGAAGCATCGATCAGACCATCAAACCTCAGAGGGAAGGTAGGGGAGGGTGGGGGTAAGGGAGAGAGATCAACCAAAGGACTTGTATGCATGCATATAGGCCTAACCAATGGATACAGACACCAGGGGATGAGTGCATGAGTGGAGGGAATAGGTGGGCAATGGGGGGATAAGGACACATATGTAATACCTTAATCAATAAAAAAATTTTAAAAAATAAAATAAAATTCTTCATTAAAAAAATGATAATAATAATGGTGCCTCCGAAAGTGCCTGCAGGTATCAAACTCATGCATGTCTCCAATGTCCCCAAGGTGTCACTATGGATACCTCGGTCCTAAGAAAGCAACGCGATCTCCACACAACCCTGGGCTTGGGTAAGTAGCTCCAGACCTACCCAAGCTCAGGGTAAGGCCATCACAGTAAGGGTGCTCCCTGCATCTTGGCCAATAAGATACCCAAGGGCTAGAGGAGGGTTACTAACTGGAGCCCTTTCCTGAGGAACATGACCCTAGTCTGCCTCCCAAGAAGGCCCTTTCTGGAAGCTACCCAGACAAAATACATGAACAATTTAAAACTTTTAAGCTGTAATATGTACATCAGAGAGGCACTATTTTAAGGGGGAGCTATGAGTCTACTCATTTATTTGACTATTTCTCCAATTTCTAATATAGCACAATTTTCAGTATTTTTCAGAAGAAGCCAAGAACAGAGAGAGAGAGAGAACAAAAGTTTTCTAAAAAGTGCTGAAACATGCAGTCGGTGACATTTCCCCAACATTTTTAGGAGTAAGTGAAAGGAAGAGACAAGGCTTTGCAAAAGTGCACCCCCTTCTGCACAGCTGGCTCGCTCCCTGGTTCTGCTTCCCACAGTCTTGACTTAGGGCAGAATATAAAAATGTTTCCATTGATTTGAGAACAATGGCATTGTTCACCAGCATACTAAGAGTTTCTTCTTAGAGAAACACAGCCCAGTCATTTTTCAACAAATCACTATGCTATGCATGGACCCAAACTTTTTTTAAAGTTCTTCCAGGTCTACTTTAAAAACTTCATAATTTTCCATGCAGGAAAATATTGAAAATTTTGGGACTCTCACCACAACTGTGAATTTTTTTTTAAATTACCATTCCCAGTGCATGGAAACATATGTACATGTTGAAACATGATCAACGTTAAGCACAAGAATTAGACTTTACATTCAAAGGATGATATCTGAGCTTTTGGAAGTTCAGCTTGATTAACTTCTCTGTGTGGCTCTCCTTAAGTACCAACTTAACCCCAATTACAAGACGGGAATAAAGCAACCTATCCCTTTCAAACCCGGCTAATTGAAAATAAGCTCTCCTTTTAGAAATGTCCATAACTTGTTTCCTGCAGAAATGAAGACAAATACGATAAATGCACATAAATTCTAAGTGATCACTTCTGCCCAGTACCTTTTCTCTGTTCAAAGTTATTGCTTATATATGTGCCTGCACATGTAACACCCTGAGGACACAACTGCACTGTGTATGTTCCTGATGAGAACACATAACTTGAATCTAATCACAAGGAAATAGTAAAAAACTAAAGTGAAAGACATTCTTATTTTTTTTTACAAAGGACTATATTCTTTTTCTTTAAATTTAAATATATATTTTTTATTGATATTAAAGAGAGAGAGAGAGAGAGAGAGAGAGAGAGAGACCGATTTGTTGTTCCATTCATTCAAGCATTCATTGGTTGTTCATTGTTTGTACCCTGATTGGGGATCAAACCCACAACCCTGGTGCATTGGGACAATGCTCCAACCAATTAAGCTACCTGGCCAGGGAAAAAAGAACTATATTCTTAAAACATGTCAGTGTCATGGACAAAAGATGGCTATAAAAAATGTTTCAGATTGAAGGAAACTTCAGAATCATGACAACTAGATTCTGTACTGAAGGAGAAAACTGTTTTTATAGAGAACATTTTGGATTTATTGAAGGAACTGAAATATGGGTGCCAGATTAGATAAAAGTACTTCACTGATATTAAAGTACTCAAACTGGTTACTGTATATGTGGGCTAACAGAATGTTCCTATTCGCAAGAAACATAGTGATGTACTCAAGATACAAGCACCATGATGTATGTATATTTTCCTCAAATGGTTCACAATGGGGAGACAGATTTTAACTTGGCTACCTATTAATATATTTTCAACATCTACATTGTACCAGCAAATGATAAAGCAAATGAGGTAAAATGTTAAAAATAAGCGCATCGGGTAAAAAGTAGAGATTCTTTGTAATATCCTTGTTCTTGTATCTTTTCTGCAAATTTGACATTATTTTCCAATAAAGTTTTACCTTTTGAAATAGACTGTAAGCCAAAATAGTTCTCGACACAGTTGGTTTGTGCTTGTTTTACATTTATGAGAAAGGTACCCTTCCCTAGGATAATGTATTTGCTCAAAAACATCTGTCTTCAAGAAAGCCATGAAAAAACCAAGTGATACACCGTACTGACAGTGCTCTTAGGATTTCTCTGCAACAGTGGTTGTCAACTTGAGCGTGCACCAGAGTCACCTTCAAGATTTGTCCAAATACAGATTGTTGGGCTCCATTCCCAGAGTTTGCAACTCATGGCGCCTGAGATTTTGCATTTCTAACAAGCTCCTCGGGGATGCTAATGCTGCTGCTCCAGGCACACATGAGAAGCACTGCTATGAAGTATAGTCTGGGGCTTCCCTTTTCTGGACAATTTCCTAAAGCTAGAAGGAATAGAATGAATGGTCTTGGTGACATAACAACAGAGCTGGTCTTTAGTACATAACTATGCATCGTCAGTTTTGAGAAGCAGTTTAAATGTTGAAAAGTATATCAATAGGTAGCCAAGTTAGGATTTGCCTAACAAGCACCACTAACTTGGACATTAATTAGGAAGGTTAATGATGGAAAGAGGATAAGAGCTGCCCCTGAATATCTATTTGCCCTTTCTTCTAGAGCAATAGCACTTCCAGTTTGAGCTGGGTACAGAACAGCGATGACATCTTCCCGCTTCCATGCAATTGGGTATGACCATGTGATAAGTCTAACTAAGAGATGACACCTTAGTGGCACAGGTAATTTCCAGGACATGCTCCTTAAGAGGGGAGGAGAGCCTTTGGCCACCCCACCCCCCAATTTTTTCTGCACAGCAAAAGAAACCGTCAACAAAACAACAACAAAGCCCACTGCATGGGAGAACATATTTGCCAATGTTATCACCGATAAAGGTTTAATCTCCAACATTTATAGGGAACTCATACAACTTAACAAAGGGAAGATAAACAATCCAATCAAGAAATGGGCAAAGGACCTAAATAGACACTTTTTGAAAGAGGACATTCAGAAAGCCCAGAGACATATGAAAACATGCTCAAAATCACTAAAAAACCAAGAGATGCAAATCAAAAC